AAAAAGACGGATGCCTGAGCGATCGCACCAACCAGCTGACCTGACACAGATGTACAGGGAAAATACGCCACTCCTTGTTGAATTTCCATAGAGACACATTTACATGTATTTTTTCTTCCTGGAACCTGTATCCTGTTTATTTTCACTAAGTTACTTTAGCACAGTGTATGTCTGTGTGTTGGTTTTATGGGAGCTCTTTGTTAAATGCTTAATTATATCGTTGCAAATTGGTGTTACAACATTAGTTTGCGTGAGGCGTAAATACTAGAACAACCTTCTCGGTGCAGTGGGGGCAGGAAAGTGACAGGTGGAGGCCGCCGACTATAGTTACGCTAGTTTGGCCCTTTTAAGGCCAGATGCAAGAATTGTGGCTTAAAATAAAGTGTATGGCTTTTTTGCCAATTTTGGCGTTTTCCTTATGCAACAAACTTTTTTTTCCTTAAAATGTGTGTAATTCTTAAGAACACAATGGGCAAATATGCACAATATAACTTTTTACAAACCGGTTGTGGTTTGTAACAAATACCAACCACAACCAATTTTTAAAAACCTATATTTTGTGTTTGCTCTTCAAAGACTAAAACAACTGAATAAATTAAGGAATTGTACAGATAGAATTACAAAGGTCAGATTTTTAAGAGCATGCATCTTTCCCATTGCAACATACGCCTGTGAGACCTGGACACTTACTAAACAAGCGGAACAGCGCATAAATGCATTTGAATATAAATGTTACAGACAGGTTCTAAGAATATCTTGGGTAAAGAAAAGAACAAATGCATCCATACTTCAAGAGCTGAATATTGAAGAGGGTTGGCTAGTAAAGACAATAAAACAAAGAAAATTGAAATATTTTGGTCACTTGAAACGTCATGGAAGTCTAGAGAGAACAATAATGGAGGGGTATATGCCTGGGAAGAGAGGAAGAGGAAGGCCAAGGAGAAGATGGGTGCAGGATGTGGCAGATGATCTCCAGATGGGTGTATCAGACGCAGGACATCTTGCTCAGGATAGGAAGGTTTTCCGGAGGGTTGTTATGGCAGCGAGGTTCCGCGAGGGACATGCTACTGAATGAATGAATATTTTGTGTATTTATTTGGTAACAATATAAAAATAATGTCCACATACAAAACTGGCTGTCACTAAAAAATGACACTATACAAAACTGGCTGTCACTAAAAAATGACACTAACTGATGAAGAAATTAAAAATGTCACAAACCTTGAATATCTAGGCTCTATAACAAATAGCAATGAAGACTGACAGAAATAATAAGGAGGATGGCCATAGCAATACAAAGATTAAACAGCATTAAAAGTCTATGGTTAAGCACTAGCAAGGATATTAAAATTCTGAGAGCAATCATCATCCCTGTGGCAACATACGGGTGTGAGTCGTGGACTATCTCCCAATCATGAAGAAGAAGAAATGGGATCTTTTGAGCTGAAATGCTTTAGAAAGATTCTCAGAGGATCAGGGGCAAATAAGAGGGAAAATACTGACATTTTAAAAGATCTGAACATCAAGGAAAATTTGCTAATAAACAGCATCTTGTCTCAGAAGCTGACATATTTTGGTCATATTAAGAGCCATGGCTGACTGGACAAAATAATAGGCATGGTACCAGGAAGGAGGGACAGGGGCCGACCAACACGAAGATGGGCACAGGATATAAGTGACTCCTTGAATAGGAAAGTACACAAGGCAGGAGAGCTGGCGATAGACCAAGTTTCTTTCAGGCAGACCGTAATGAGAGCGACGTTCTGCTAAGAACCTGCTAACTGATGAACAATCGTGGTATTTTTAGTCGGCGTCTGTGGCTTGGGCGTTGCGAACACACCGGTGGCGATTTGGTAGCAGACCGTGTTGCATTGGTTTCGTCAATGGTACCAAGAGCAACAATGGCAAACGACTGAACCTAAAATTTTCCTAGAATAACCACACAGACAAAAAAAATGCTAGGGTTGGTTCTGCAACGTCGTGTAGAGGATAAGCAATTAACTTTGGGAGGATATAAAACCAAAGAAAAGTAGATCGGCCGGCTTTACAACATAACAAACATAAACAAAACGTGAACTTTGCGGCTATAGAGCCTTCATAGGCACATACATAAATCAAACTTCTTCTTCTTCTGCTGCGCTCGACATCAGTCATGCTAAACATTGAGTCCCGTCTGGGTCACAAATAGGACTGTGCGTTTAAGGTCACCACCGGTCCTCCATAGCTTCTCTTTCAATGTGGCTCCCTTGGGCCCGATCCACAGTCTTTGCTGGGAGAGGTAAGGGCAGTACTGTAGTATGTGCCAAGGGGTCTGTCTTTCTGCTCCACAATCACAGGCAGCAGATTCTTTTATGCTTATCCTGTACAGGAGTATTCGAAGACCACAGTGTCCAGTCCGAAGTCTAAAAATTGTTGTTTGTTCTTTCCTGTTGAGTTTGTTTATGCTGTCACTCTCTGGTCTGTAATCTCCATTCTGCCTTCTCCACTCCCGCTTGAAAGACTGCTTTAGCGCTGTTTTGGTTTTCTTTTAGCTGTGTGTTGGATGAGGTTGTGGAAGATTACTCCCAGCTTTTGCCAACTCATCTGCTCTCTCATTTCCTTGAATATCACAGTGGGCTGGTATCCACTGCAAGACCAGTTCTGCTTCCTTGGAGAGTAAGCCAATGTTGGTCCTTAGATCTGCAATTAGTTTGTCTTGTTTTTTGCTTGATAGTGCTTGGAGAACAGACAATGAGTCGCTAAGTATAACAATTTGGTGCCCTCTGTGTTCTTGATTGATGAGATGTTGGACTGCAGAAAGGAGGGCAGTTGCCTCAGCTCTGAAGTTAGTGCAGATGTCACCTGCTGGTAGAGAAAGAGTTTCTGCTGTACTGCTCGGGGGTTTAATGCAAATTCCACAACCCCCCTTTCTGACTGCATCTGTAGCAGAGCCGTTGGTGAAAACCTGAGTCCAAGTGGTGTTGGGATATTTCTCATCAAGCATAGCAAGAGCCAGGGTTCTCTATTGTGTCTCCGTCTGGGCATCTTTTGAAGTGATTCCTGGTACCTTTAGGATTACATTTGCCTTCTCTGGTTTGCTTGTCCATGGTTCTAGCCTAAGTTTTTCGCACAATGCTACATCTCCTTCAAGCAGATCTCGGTGCTGTCTGTACAGTTCTCTAGCAAGGTGATTGGAGCTCTGACGCTTCAGCCTGTTTTTTGTTCTCTCTTGAAATTTAAAATGCAGTGGGTGACTTTCAAGTCTTTTTAATTTTTCATACTGTAAAAGAGTTTTGTATTGTCTTCTGAGTTCGAGTGGTTCAGTATCTGCTATCCTCTTTATCTCTCTGATGGGGTGGTTTTCATGGCTCCGAGAACAATCCTTAATCCCATTTTCTGAACCTTGTTCAGTTTTCCCATTGTTGTCTTGGCTGATGCAGCCCATGCAGTGGAGGCATATTCCATGACTGGCCTGACTGCTCCAGTATATACTTGTTTTAGGATTCTAGAGTTGGCGCCCCATGTGGTACCCGCTAATTTTTTAATCACTGCAAGCTTCTTGAATGCTTTCCCCTGTACTGCTTCTACATGTGACTTCCAAGTTAGTCGCGAATCAAGTGTAACGCCAAAAAAGGTAGGAGTGTCAGTCTGTGGAATGAGCTGGTATTTTATCCAAATTTTGATTTTTTTCTTTTTTGGGGGAGAGAGAGAAAGGTGATGCTGTGCTTTTTGAATAAATCAAACAAAACCACACGACTAACCAAAATCCCCTAACTGAGTATCAAGAAGCAGCTACGTTGATTTCTGGCCAGCGGAATGGGAATAAAACTGACCAACTGACTTTCTACCCCACCAGGACATCACACAAGCGATAAAAACCCGATGACACAATGTGAATGAGGATTTACGTGGAGAGGTCCCAGAAATCGCGTTCAGCCGCTAGGCCATATTTATGGCTTGGCTATATTGCAAGAGCCAGGGTGGGGCTTCAGATAACAAAAAATTTCATCCTAAAAAAGACGGCAAAATATATAGAAGAAGAAAACGTAGGACCCGAGAAATAAATAGCCATGGAAAGCATAGTTGATTGTAACAACTTTGTGGGGACTAGATTAAATGAGGCGTCTCCTTACTGTATGCAGCTCAAGTGTATCTGCCCTTCACTCGTATTGTGCATTTCACATCCATCATATAAACTTTTGCTTTGTTTTAAAAAACTCCAGCTAGTAATGTTATAATTAAGGGGGTGTTTTCTCGCGTATCATCAGTCAAAACAGAAGCTAGAAATAGAGAATAGCTGTTACTTCTCGAGACAATAGCGAGAATAAGAACAGAACTGCGCTTATCTAATAAATGTTGTAAGGGCTTTACTCTCTAAAATGTTTAAGAACATCTCAACATTTGTATGGGGCTGGTTTCAGTGGGGACGATAGTGATGACCTTGATTTTGAACTTTTCTCACAATGAGAGTATGCATGTGCATTTGTGTGCACTCGACTAAGGGGAGAACAGAATAAACCCATTGCATTCTAACAAGCATGTCGTAAGAGTAGACTAATTCAGGGTTTCCTTCAAAGTGAGAGGGCATCTGCCTAAGAGGAAAAAAAAAAAAAAACAACAACCTGCACACAAGTAAGCCAGATCTGTAAAAAAAAAATTATGTACATGCAAAACAAGTTCTGAAACTAAACTAGAGTCTAGAAGCGGACGAACAACCATAACTTCCCTCATTAATTTACAGCCGGTGAACGTGAAGACGAAAAAGAAGAAGAATGTGCAATTCTTTCCTTCTGGCTTTTTGTTTGGCATTTTTTTCCAATGTTTAGCTAATTTAGTTCATTTTCATCTGGTAGCTCCGCGGCCGCCTCCAGTAACCCCGGCGAACCGGAAGTAGGCAGTTAGACTTGTTCATTTCTGCTTTTGGACTTGTAGAATTGTCTTGTTGGTTTCTGTGGATTATGTGGCCGGATTGTCAAGTAAAAGTCGTTATTGTATAGTTTTCGGTAAATTTGAATGGACAAATGGCTGGCTCTGGACAGCGTAAAGCAGGGCTTGTTACTGTGGAGTTGAACAAGACAATATGGGAGGTGCCGAGTCGCTACACCATACAGAATCCTGTTGGTATCGGTGCTTACGGCCAGGTCGTGTAAGTAAAAAAGTTAAACTTAAACTTTAAGAAAAAAAGAAAAAAACAGTAACACTAACAACAGCATTATCAGTATTCTTCTTCTTTTTCTTCTTCTTCTTCCTCCACCTCCTTTAATATTTTAAACTCACAGTGAAACTCAAACTGAATCTGAATCACTTGAGAATGAGAAACCAGGTCAACAAATTTCTAATGTTATGCTCAGTAATAATTATAATAATAATAATAATAATACATAGTAGTTAAGTAAAAAAAAAAGCTCAAGTTGGGAGATATGAACCAGCATCATTGCACACGGTTATAAACCATAAGTGCTCTGCCACAAGTACGGACAGCTGATATAAAACTGGCCACCTGTGTCCCACACGAAGCTCCATAGCGACATTCCTCTATTTACCCCAGTGTTAACTCTGGTACCCATTTCCTAGAGGCTGGGTGAACCCCGGAGACCGCCCGTTTTCGAACCTTGGCCGTGGGCTGCAGCGAATCGCACCTCGTGGAAGTTCGAAGGAGAGCCAACAAATCTATTATTTATAAACTTGGGCTGTCCTCTAATAAACAGTCCCAAATTATGGAGGCCGAAAATATACCCTAATAGGGTCTCAGTCACATGTAAATTGCGGACCTCTTCCGGCGACTACACAGCATACCGCTGAGATTCTTCAGACTTAGCCTTGAGTTAGAAGTAGAACGAAGCACTTATTGGTTACCACCCTTGTGCTGTAATGTTGATCCGTTTATAAACAAGCAAACAAACAAATTGGCTCTCCTTCGAACTTCTACCCCATATTATGGCGGCAAAACAAATACCCTAACAGGGCCTCAGTCGTGTGTAAAATGCGGACTTCCTCCGACGAACACATTGCAGCAAAACTAGGATTACTTGACAATGTCACGACACGCAATACTGCAGACTATAATAGCGTTGACAATTTTGAGCATTTCAGCAGACGATACTAGTGACCATTGACAATTTTGAGACACGCAAAATTACAGACGATAAAATGGAGATGGCGGGGATTAGCGATAGTGTTCTTCCGATTAAACTCACCGCCGAGCGTATCCCCCGTGCTGATATGCACGCTGCAGATGGGGATCTAAACTAGATGCCTGGGACTCACAAGCAAATAAATTGGAGGAAGTTGCAGGAGATGCGGTAGCTGCTGCTTGTGAGTCCCAGCCATCTAGTTTAGCCCCCCCACTGTGAGCAGTGGCGCAGGGGATACTGTCGACGGTGCGGCATAGTCGCAGAAACAGGTCCAAAATTAACACATCGCTGAGACCCTGTTAGAGCATTTGTTTCGTTTTTCGAAACAGATCCCAGATCTTCTGCCATTTGTTCCTCGGCAGGAACTCTGGATTTTGCATAGGACTGAGGCCCTGTTAGGGTATTTGGCCGCTATAATATGGGGTAGAAGTTCGAAGGAGAGCCAACAAATCTATTATTTATAAACTTGGGCTGTCCTCTAATAAACAGTCCCACATTATGGAGGCCGAAAATATACCCTAACAGGGTCTCAGTCACATGTAAATTGCGGACCTCTTCCGGCGACTAGACAGCATACCGTGGAAAAGCTTCCACCGTGTTAAAGTCACCGCCGAGAGTATCTCATTGTTAAAATGTTAGGAGGGACATTGGTTCTGTATTCCCCCTTTCTAAAATGGTGCCTAGAACGCTTAAAGAAAAGTACCACATCCTGTTACCTAAAAGATCACAGGATTGTGTGATATCAATTAAAAACCAATCATCCTTGTTAAATGTTCCAGCACTTTATTTGGGATTTAAACCCTGTTATGTCAGCTTGAGATGGAAACTAAAATCTCCTATTCATACCTCTCCACTTGTGGTGCAGATATCATAGTCTAGATGTAAATTATAACACAAGAGTGCCAACTGCCATTATAAAGTTGATGCAGAAGAAGAAGAATAAAAACCTACTTGATGAAAAATTGTGTAAATATAAAATAGAGTAAGAAAAACATTTCATTTTAAATGTTTTATTCTTGCCTAAAATTATATTGTGAAGTGTGTTTCCTTGAGTGGGGCATTCCCTTAACCACTCCATCCTCATCTTCAGCAGCCACAAAAAATCATTTCCAGTGGTGATAGTAGGAGTTTGTACCTCTGTCTTGCCTTTTCCCTGAGTCTAGAGTATCTACCAGATCTCTTGGTCACTCCCAACTGTATCATTCTCTCCAGTCCATAATGATTTATTTTTTGCTTCAGTAGTAATACAGCATGTAATTGAAGTCATGTGTCACAACAGTTATTGTGCTTTGTTTGTTTGTTTGTGTGTTTTTGTTAAATATACAACTAACCTAAGGCTGGTAATTCTAAACTCTTTTTAGACATGAAGATATAACTGACTGTTGGATAATATAATCACATCTGTTGGAATGGGCTATCTGTCCAGGGCCCTATTATTGGGGAAACAAGAATAGACCCACTGCCTACCCAAAAGCATGTCCTAAGAGCCGACCAATTGGGAGGTTCCTTTGAAGTCGGAGTGCATCAGCCTGAGAGGCAAGGAACCATCAGTCTGCATACAAATGAGTCAGATCTGTAAAATGGATGCACACGCAACACTCAGGTTCTGGAACAGGACTGCAGTCCAGAAGTGGACAAACAACCAGAACTTTCCGCTGGAGTTTACAGCTGGTGAACGCGAAGAAGAAGATATAGCATATATTGGAATGGGCTATCAGTTATTAATTAAATATTAGATTTGCAAGCATTCATTAGGTTCCAGTTGTTAAACAGTATAATTCTTCTTCTGCATTCATCTGAACAGGTAAATGTGTTATGCCCATTTACAGCATTGCTGTGATATTTTTGCCCTTCGGTCGACACATCCAACTTCTGTAAGCATTTACTGACCTGGTTAGCTTTCTTGGAAACGGTTTAATTCATATAGCATAACATAGATCTTTTTATACTTCTTTGTGTTCACAGGATGTGAACTCTGGCATAAAGTACTGTTTGCTCGTCCACTTTTCAACTTTGATTTTATTCAGGGACTTGAGTCTTGCATGCACATCTATTTTATGGATGTGGTGGGGCACTAGAACCAGGGCTCATGTTGGTCAAGACCTGTCTACTCCTCTCCTTGGTCATCTTAGAAACAGGTTCTCAACCAGGAGCCTGGCCAGCATACTAGGGTTGGCATCTGCTTGTGAGGCAAGGAACCAGCAGTGTGCACACAAATAAGCCAGCTGTAAAATGAATGTGCACACAACACTCATTTCCTGGGACAAGACCTAAGTCCTGAAGTGGACAAACAGCCAGGACTTTCCACCAGAGTTTACAGCCATTCACTGCAAAGAAGAACAGAAGGGCAAAGATATTGAAAATAAATCTAGCTAATCCTGTCTCCCTTCATGAAACCCCACTGCAGGAGGCAGAATTATACACTTTTTTTAGACAGCACTGTAAACAGATTTGGAGAGTAGAGATAGAGATGTACATATTACAGTACAAAAGAGACAAGTTTTCATAGCACTAAAGCCTAAAGAGTAAAAATAAAACGTAGTCCTAACTTTCGGTCCCTTAAGGTTAATTTAAAAGACTATTGATATTTTTTTTTAATGCTTTTGCCACGAAAACTCTGACCACTTGATGAATGATAGCAACAAAAAATAAAAATACTTCTATGGTTGCCAGATTTATTTAGTTTACACAGACCAAAAATTAAAAATTAGAAGACATTTGATGTGTTGTTTTAGATGTGTGGTGAATAGGCAGTAACAAATTGTTTGCGAATGATAGAGTTAACAGCAAATCATTAATGCTGTGTGGAGCAGAAACATGGAGAATGAATAACTCATTTCCTAATAAATAAACTATAAACATTTATTAACTTGTGCCTGTGAGGAAGCTGCCTTCCCCTGGCTTGAGAATCAGCTGTACACACATGCCGGGACTCACAGAGCATAAGAAAGGTGGAGACAGGTATGCTCCATACAGAGTGGCAAGCATCACTTTAGAGGTCCCGGGTAGTTAGTATCCTTTAAATATTCTCTCCAAGTCGTGCCGGTGTGTTGGGAAATGAACAGGCAAATAGACTGGCCGGTTCTGTACCACTTTGTGATGGATTAATGTATGACAAACTAGACGTTGTGAGTGCCCTCTGGGAGGAAGTGAACAGTGCAGAGGCAGAAATAGATCGTTACTGTCTGCGGAGAATGGTGCTGCAAGGAGTTACCAGGGAATCTGGCCGACGCTCAGAACTCAAGGGAAGGGCGAGATGGATATACAATCAGACAGTTTCTGGTGCCATCAGAATTGGAACTCTTCATTTGCTGCTGAAGATGGGGACGGAGCGCTTATGGGGGTGTCCAAAGTGCTGTAATATCGATTCTTAATTCAACATTTGCCTGTGTGGAATAGAGGTAATTACAGAATATTATTTAAAGAAAGAGGAACAAAGTAATATAATGCAGACTTTATGATTGCCTGGCATTATACACTGCTGGCATTATACACTGCTGGCATTATACACTGTAAAACATGCAATAAATTGTGTTGTGTTCCATTATTGGATAGGGCTTACATTGATATAACTTAATAATGATCTAATTCTAATGACCCTACACTAGAATGCACAGGGTTTTTAAAAAAAGATGGAGGGAGATATAAAATTCATGGTGAAGATAGAGACAGCAATGAGTAATACATGGAGGATGTACCCCGTGTAGGTTATAATGCCAAGTCGTGGAGGATGTATCCCGTGTAGGTTATAGTGCCAAGTCATGGAGGATGTATCCCGTGTAGGTTATAGTGCCAAGTCATGGAGGATGTACCCCGTAAAGGTTATAGTGCCAAGTCATGGAGGATGTATCCCGTGTAGGTTATAGTGCCAAGTCATGGAGGATGTACCCCGTAAAGGTTATAGTGCCAAGTCATGGAGGATGTATCCCGTGTAGGTTATAGTGCCAAGTCATGGAGGATGTACCCCGTGTAGGTTATAGTGCCAAGTCATGGAGGATGTATCCCGTGTAGGTTATAGTGCCAAGTCATGGAGGATGTACCCCGTAAAGGTTATAGTGCCAAGTCGTGGAGGATGTATCCCGTGTAGGTTATAGTGCCAAGTCATGGAGGATGTATCCCGTGTAGGTTATAGTGCCAAGTCATGGAGGATGTATCCCGTGTAGGTTATAGTGCCAAGTCGTGGAGGATGTATCCCGTGTAGGTTATAGTGCCAAGTCGTGGAGGATGTATCCCGTGTAGGTTATAGTGCCAAGTCGTGGAGGATGTATCCCGTGTAGGTTATAGTGCCAAGTCGTGGAGGATGTATCCCGTGTAGGTTATAGTGCCAAGTCGTGGAGGATGTACCCCGTGTAGGTTATAGTGCCAAGTCGTGGAGGATGTACCCTGTGTAGGTTATAGTGCCAAGTCATGGAGGATGTATCCCGTGTAGGTTATAGTGCCAAGTCGTGGAGGATGTACCCTGTGTAGGTTATAGTGCCAAGTCGTGGAGGATGTATCCCGTGTAGGTTATAGTGCCAAGTCGTGGAGGATGTATCCCGTGTAGGTTATAGTGCCAAGTCGTGGAGGATGTATCCCGTGTAGGTTATAGTGCCAAGTCGTGGAGGATGTATCCCGTGTAGGTTATAGTGCCAAGTCATGGAGGATGTATCCCGTGTAGGTTATAGTGCCAAGTCATGGAGGAAAAATAAGAATAGACCAACTGCCTCCCAAAGAAGCATCTTGTAATAGTTGACTAACTGAGGACTTCCTTTGAAGTCAGAGTTCATCAACCTGAGAGGCAAGCAACCAACATCTTGCCTACTAACAAGTCGGATCTGTAAAACAAATCTGCACACAACAGCGGTTCTGGAAGAAGACTAAAGTCCAGAGGTGGATGAACAACCATAACCTTCCACTTAAGTTTACAGCCGATGAATGCGAAGAAGAAGAATATGGAGTTTGTGAAATGAGCTGCGGGAGATGGCAAGAGAAAGGATACAATCATGGACAAGGACTGGTTGAGAACCACAAAGAATACTGTCTCTATTTCTGTATTTAACACTGTTTTTAGGGTGTTGTAGGTCGGGTAGGTCTTGAGCCCGAGAATTTCAGGGTGCATTGCCAGTGCGGTCGGCATGAGCTGTTATAGGTTAGGATTTTATTTTTGGTACCGGACATAGAAATTCCCACATCTTACCAAGGTTTCGAACCTGGGTCCCCACCATAGAGCATTTAATGAGTAGAAAATGTAGAGCAAGAATTTTTGTAGTTAAAAGGCATTGACTTCCTATCAGTTAAACATGCAGACTTACTGTTTTAATCATGGCAAAGTTTCTGCTTCTGACAATAGTCAGCCTTGCATTTTTAATATTTAGATTGAAAAGATATAGTTCCAATGCCAAGCTACTGAGCTACGACACTGAGCTGCATATTTTATTTGGAATGCTTTTCAGCTGTGCCCAGCAGTGTCTATTTTGTGAGATACAGATTCAGAAAATGGCGAGCAGCCTGTTGTCAGAGAACTGGTGGTGCCTTATTCAATGTATTGCGTGTGCAAATTCTGATATTTTGTATCTGCTGCCTCCATCGATGTTGAACTGTATTTCTGGTGCTGGACTGTTAATGTTGGTACTTCTGACAGCTGCATTATGCATTTAAAGTATGTGAATGCTATTGGCTTTGCTAAGACTGCAATCTGTGCAGTTTTTTTTTATCACAAGTGACAGTGGTGGACGTTCTGTGTGGTTTTAATTGGCACGTGAACGAAGCAACTATGAGGTGATTCATTTGCTATGAAGTTGAAACTGCGATTACCTGATTATTTTACCTTATAAAATGCACACCGCTTACATGTCAGTGTTTGTATGAAATCGACATTTAAATGCATGTAGCTTTTGTGCCAGTGTTGGTATTAAACCAACAAAGGAAGAGGTTAAAGCAAATATGTCTGTTGACACACTGGTTGGGCAACTATTCCTTGTCCAGAACCATATCAGACATAAAGCTCTTTTTTGCTTGTGTCCATATTGTTGCAATGGTAGTGCTATTTTTTATAATCACACTCAAGTTTTATTGCACATTGGACATTCTCATGCATGTTCAGTCCTCTGATGCAGCAGCCACCTCGTATGATACTGATTATTCCAATAAGTGTATAGTTTTTCCTGTCTTGACCTCGAAGATGGCATAGACGGGCTTCACCAGGCCTTATTCCTAGGCCTAATCATTGTCCACCATAGTCCGTTCAGCATTGATGATATCAGCTATGTCCATACATCCTCCCCATTGAATGGTGCATTACTAACTTGCCAGTTGGTCCACTTGTTCATTACCCCTTACTCCGGTATGCCCACGGGTGTAGATCTGGGTGACAGAGGTTCAGTTACACTTCCTATTGTTATCTACAAATTCTGGGCAGATGCTTCTGGCTGAGATTTTATGGAGCCTCTTCACGGAATCAGATATCCCCTCTTGTTGTGCTGCCCATGCAAATGCTTTGAAGGCAGTGGTTGTTTCCTCGATCATGCAGTGGTAGTGTATTTTAAAGGTGACTGGCATCTTTCCCTCTTTCCAGATAATAGTGTTATATTGCGCTATGACAAGGCATGGGACTTACAGGCGATGGCGAGTGTGACTAGCAAGACTATCTTTCCAGTTAATAGTGTTATATTGCGCTTTGACAAGGCATGGGACTTACAGGCGATGGCGAGTGTGACTAGCAAGACTATCTTTCCAGATAATAGTGTTATATTGCGCTATGACAAGGCATGGGACTTACAGGCGATGGCGAGTGTGACTAGCAAGACTATCTTTCCAGATAATAGTGTTATATTGCGCTATGACAAGGCATGGGACTTACAGGCGATGGCGAGTGTGACTAGCAAGACTATCTTTCCAGATAATAGTGTTATATTGCGCTATGACAAGGCATGGGACTTACAGGCGATGGCGAGTGTGACTAGCAAGACTATCTTTCCAGATAATAGTGTTATATTGCGCTATGACAAGGCATGTGACTTACAGGCGATGGCGAGTGTGACTAGCAAGACCAGCCCACGTTAAGAAATGTCTTCCACGATTATAGCATGGGATTTCAGGACCCCGGTTGTCAACATTTTTGTTTAGTTTGTGTCTTCTCAGGTGCTCAACTCTCAATCCTCTCTCATTTTAAAAGTATTTCTGCAGCTATTACAGCAATTTAGTTTTGAAATGTTAGATCTTCGCATATTCTTTGATGAGTCTGCATGACTGCTTCACTGACACCATATGAAACATTCGTTAGAATTGCATGACTCCTACAGTATAGTTCAGTCTTTACACCAATCATAATGTTCATGGTTTTCCTATTTGTACAGATCTGCCTTTGACAAGAAGTCAAACACAAAAGTGGCAATAAAAAAGCTGGCCCGGCCATTTCAGACAGCAATCCACGCCAAGAGGACGTTCAGGGAGCTTCGTATGTTAAAGCATATGAATCATGAGAATGTGAGTACTGTTTCCCTGGTTATGTTAGTTCATTTTTTTTGGACTAGTATTTATTTCCTATGATCACACACATGTCAGAGATTCAACTGGCCAGAGATGTGGATTTCTCTCCTAGACACTTCATTGGTGCAATTTTTGTTCATATTTGTGATGGTGTTAAAAAACCTCAGAACAATATAACTAGAATTTGTATCGGGGCCCACAGGGCATAGAAAAAAAAGACAGACAGAAGAAAAAAAAACACATAGAGAAGGAAGCTGGAGAGTGAGGTTAAAAATATAGGGAGGTCGTGGGGTGAGCTGCATGCAATAGCAAAGGATAGAACAATTTGGTGTGTGTTGGTTTAGGGTCTATGCTCCATTTGGAGATAGAAGGCACATAATATGCTGATGAAGGCTGTCAGACCTCAACATTCACTTCTTGTTTGTGATAATGTGAATGTGACTGGTTCTGCTTTTCTTTCGATTTGGTATTTTTTCATATTGATTTATTTAAAATTTCTTTCTTGCTTACCACATAATTCTTCTTATATTCCGTGACATGTGTACTGACCATTCATTTCTGATACAGATTTTCTTCCATGCTATCTAACATCTTCTCTGTTAATCTCTTGTGCCCCTGTAAGATATAAAGAAAACATAGTTCTTTTAACACCATCTAGGTCTATTCGAGTGATGACAGTTAATTTATGTATATAAATATCACTACCACTACTAGCTGTACTATCACCATTATAATAACTGCTGCCACTACTCCGCCCCCATGAGGTATCGCTCCATTGTAGTTGTCCAGACTGCCTGCTTGGATGATCATAACCTGGGTTTGTTTCCATTACCTCACGTAATTCACATGGCTTCTCTGGTTTGTGTGTACACCACGATAATCATATATTTTATGTTTTGTTGGCAGTCTTATATTTATTTGATCTCAACCCCTAGAAGGATTTTAACAGTTTACAAGTTTACATTTTTTCTTCTTCTGCATAAGCTAGATGTTGTGAGGGCCCCTTGGGAGTGAGTGAACAGTGCAGAGGCACAAATAGATCATTATGGCCTAAGTATAATGGTGCTGTAAAGAGTTGTCAGGGAATGCTGAACACTCAAGGGACAGTTGAGATAACAACCTGACATACCAGTCTCTTATCAACAGAAGAAGAGAATGATCAAATCAATCAGAATGCCACCGAAACTGGCACAAGATGATTACCATATTATGGACAGACCAGAGCAAGTTATTATCCTTCGCCTTAGAACAGGGCACAATAGACTTCGCTCCCACATGTACAACAAATTTAAGATTGGCCAATCGGCCATGTGTACTTGTGGACTGGCACCTGAAACAACAGATCACATCCTTCAAGACTGTCCCATATTCAACGCTTTCAGGCAAAACATTTGGCCAAAAGAGACACTTGTGGAAGTCAAACTTTACGGGCCGCTTAGTGAATTACAAAAGACAGTGAAATTCATACAAGAGACGGCTTTGCAGATATAGACAATTTATTTCATGCGAACGAAAGAAGAAAAAAAGGATGTACAATCAGACAGTTACTGATACCTTGGAATTAGAACTAGTTGCTTGCTGTTGAAGATAGGGACGGAGTGCTTATGGGAGTGTCCCGAGTGCTATAATGTCAATTCTTAAATAAGCAATCTGCACTTTTTAGCTCAACACGTCCATTTTCAGCAGTCTCCTAATTAGTAGCCTTTTAAGGCATGCTTGTTAGAGGCTAGTGGGTCTGTTCTGTTTTTCCTCAGAAAGGGGCCCTGCAACCCACGCAAGGAGGAGGAGAGGAAACGTGATTAATTCAATAAGTTCAAATATTTTCAAATTTTTTTTTCTAGCCTTATAAGTAAGAATTTTTTACACAACTACTGTCCATGTATTATATGTGTATATATGAGTTGTTTTCTTCTTGTTTTGATGTCTGTCTTTGTGACTAAACTACTGGTTGTTTTATTGCAATCATCACAATACAGTCTTCTTCTTCTTCCTCACCTTCACCGGCTCTAAATTGCAGCATAAAGTTCTGGTTGTTCGACCACTTCTAGACTTTATTCTTTTTCCATAACAGGAGTTTTGCATGCATATCCGTTTTACAGATCTAGCTTATTTATATGCAGACCTTTGGTTCCTCGCTACTCAGGCAGATGCACTCTTGCCTTTGAAAAAACGCCCGCAATTAATTGAATTTGATTAGACATGGGGGGGGGGGGGGGGTTACAACTTGCATATAGTGGATATATCCTCCTCACCCAACTGTGAAGCACTCACACCTTTAACAGTGCACTAATGATATTTGTGTCTCTCTTCATCAGGTGATCAGCCTCATTGATTGCTTCACCCCAAATCTTAGCATGGCAGATTTCCAAGACGTGTAAGTATATGGCTCGAAAAAAAAACCCAGACATGCTGTCACTGTTGTAACTGGGATTTATAGACACTGTTTCATTATTGTTGTAGGGATTATTGTTGTAGGGATTGTTGACACAGTCAAATTGTTGTTGTTTTAGTGATTCATAGACACAGACTATTCATTGTGTAACCCCTTTAATGATTACTTTAGGTGTGCCCAGTTGCTTCCATTGTTTTTTTTTTTTTCAGATTGAGCAGGTCACAATGTATTGTCCATAAACTGGAGAAATTTCAGTAAAGCCATCTCGTTCCATTTATTACTTTTCTGAAATTCATTACATTTCCGAAAATGGTAGCATCAGTTGATTTTGTCTGTGAAAAGTGCTGTTTGTATTATGGCTCAAACAAAATTGAATGAACTAGAAAATTATATGATAGAAGCCTTTTTTCGTCTTTTGTCATATTTGTCTAACTGCAAACTCTACATAGACATCTTCTTTTGCTGGTTTGGACCATTTCGAATGGTTATAGAACAAGAAATAGTTATGAATACAGTTTCAAAACATTCAGTGTCAAGCAAGTAAAGGTGATGAAGGCAGGTCCCATCTTACAGTAAACTGCTTGGCAGCCCTAAAACCAGGAAACTAAAACACCTGATATCCCTGTGTGGGTCCCGGGACCTCATTGTAGGGAAAACAAGAATAGACCACTGCCTCCCCAACACCCATGTCTTAAGAGTCGACTAATTGGGAGCTTCTCTTGAAGTTGTAGTACATCTGCCTGCGAGGCAAGGAACCAACAGTCTGCATACAAAGTCAGGTCTGTAAAACAGATGTGCATTTATCACTCAGGTTCTGAAACAGCTAATGTCCAGATGTGGATGTACAACTAGAACTTTCCATCGGAGTATAAAGCTGGTGGACGTGAAGAAGAAGAAGAAGAAACACCTAATAGTTTCTACCAAGTGAAGATAACCAGTGCAGGCAACAAGCATTTAGCTTACAATGCCCACTGAAATAGATAAAAGAGTTTAAGCAACAAGATTTTGCTAACGATTAACAAAGGAGGCGCATGAGCGCCTACGCCAGTTGGCAGGGCACATGGTGATAATGATGCCACTGACGTCAACAGGGTTCTGCACTTTACTTATACAGTAAGATCTTGTTAAAGCAAATTCCAAAGGACCTCTAAAAAAATATTAAAAATTTGTTTAAATTGTACTAATAAATCCATGTTGTGACCAAAATTTGGTTCATGTTAACCTAATGTTCTTCTTAACTCTTTGAGTCATAAGGAATTATTTTTTTTTATACCCTTTTTTTCTATTATGGAGTTGAGTAAAATTGTAGATCAGAAATAGTAAAATGAAAATAAAATGTCAAATACAAAGGGTTGACATAACGTCTGTCTGTGTTAGGAGACAGCAAGAACATCTTGTTATCTTTGGAATGACATTTGATGCCTTGTTTGATACTAAAAGAGAGCAAGCAGCGAGTTTGTGTTAATGAAGTTTTACTACCTAGACTTGAACCCACCAACAGAAAGAGGAGACCAATCACAGAGTGGATTGGAGGTGGGTGCTGTGAACCTTAAAGGCTCAGAATGATAATGATGAAGATGAAGATCATTGTTTAGAAATCTGTATTCGGCTGTATATGCTCAGTTGTGTACTTTTGTGATCCACCTGCTCAGTTACATGGTGACCCCACTGATGGGAGCCGACCTCAACAACATACTCAAGACACAGAGACTCAGTGATGACCATGTCCAGTTTCTCATCTATCAGATTCTCAGGGCACTCAAGGTGAGCATAGCATTTTTGAGATACTGTATTTGTCTGTATATAAGACATGTTTTCCAAACTGGTTTTGTTTTTCACTTTAAAATTGAAAATATGTATTTCCTAATATCTTGGGCTATACAAAATAGGGCTAATCTTATACATGGGAGCACAAAAAATACATTTCTTATAGACACCTGATTGCAGCTGTTTCAGTTACCTGTTTGCAGTTGTTTTGTGTGCCACATTATGGAGGCTGTTGTAGTGCAGTCACAATCTCACTTAACCCAATGGCCATGTTTTTCTGTGTTGGCAAACAGGTAGCCTTTTGGCTGGCCAATCGGCGCTTTACAGCTGGTCAGGAAAGTGGTAGGGTCATCACACTAACACTGCAAGAGTTCTTTTTAGGGCTGCTTGGTGGCTAGCAGTTTTATGCCAATCAATTTGGCGCAAGTAAACAGACACCATAGTATAACCAAAATCTCCCCCTTGGAGGGAGCTGATTGATTGTGGTCGAGTTGTTTCTTCTGCCTTAGGCTTCCAAATTAACTCAATCTGGAAACATACTAGGAAATTTTCTAGAAATTAAAGCTTGCTTGTGTAATATTGAAGACATTTGCCGTTATGAATTAAGAAACCATAGCACTTAGAACGTTCCCAGAAGTACTCCATTCCCATCTCCAGCAGCGAGTTCTGATTGCAATGTTACCAGTAACAGTCTGATTGTCTGCCCATATCACCCCTTCCCCTGGGTGTCACTTTTTGGTGCAAAACCAGCAAACAGATTGTTCACTGAGGGCTGAATGGTCATGTATGCTGGCTATTCTTCATGTTGGCTTCTTTTATTTAGTCATAGTTTTTCTACATTTTAGAGGAATAAACCATGCAGTGACAGCGAATCAAAGGGTCTGCCTGCCTAGAGAGAAAAAAACAGGAGAGGGTTGTAGAACTTGAGAAAGATTAATGACAAAGTGAAAAGATGACATCAGAGAAGCTGTACAGCAGGTGTCGAAAAAGATGTCAAATATATCTGCGTATATCGAGGTGTGGCATATGAATCAGACCATGCATGCCCTTAAAAAAGTGAAACATACCTTGAAAAAGGTGTTGAATTTGGCTGCCAACTCTGAATATGTCTATGTTGGAGACGGCCAGAATCACAAGAACAAGAAATTTTTCCCACCCACACACACCCCCCCCCCCCCCCCCACACACACACACACACCCCCCCCCCCCCCCCCCCCCCCACCTCGACGCCTGGAATGGTAAAGAAGAAGTGATGTGAGGATCGGAACTTGTTATATGAATATCTTTTCTTAAAGCTGCATTAATTTTGTTTGCTTGCTAGCTAAAGTCAGGGTCTGTTATGTTGTATTCACCCTTCAGTGTGCCTTTTTTTTTAAAGTTTAATTTATTTCTGTATTTTCAGTACATTCATTCTGCGGGGATTCTGCATCGTGTAAGTCTGTTTTGCTTTGTAGACAATGTCGCCTAAATACTTAGCCTCCAGTACTCACATATTTATACATAAGCATAAATGGGGAAATAATGATATCTAAATAATAATTTCATTTCTCGTTATAAAACACTTGTTACTTTGAATGTCTGCATCAGTGCAGTTTTTCCTTCACAGTTTACCTCGGAACCCAAATGAACCCACCTAATTTTTTTATATAAAAAATTTTTTTTTGGTAAAAATAGTTGTTCCCTTCTGGGATTGCGGTCTGTGAGACTAATATCTCAAGGATGAGTATCAGACAGGTTAAAAATCCAGGAAACCTTGTTCATTTGTTAGCCATTTAGCACAGTTATATTTGGGTTGCGATGTAACTGTAGTCCAGTATAGGTGTGTGTGTGTGTGTAAAAGAACCCTTTTCCATGCCTATGGACATATAGTGCTAGACCGATATTTTATAGACCAGTCGGCACTTGGTGGGTGATGTGGTCGGCATCATGTCAGCCGCTTTTAATTCTGTTACCTGGTACCCTTTTAAGACTGGGTTGACCTAGAAGCCTAGGTCATTTAAAAAAAATAATTTCAGGCAGTGCTGCTGTGAGGACCCGAACCTGTGACCTTCTGATCCATAGGCAAGTGTCTAATCGCTATACAATGACAGCTCTCTGGGTGTGTATGATCCGGCCTAAAATTGGTACCAGGCTTTGTCCTGGGAAATGAAGGTAGCCTGCATGATGTTACCATGTCACCCGTTGAGTTTTGATATATAAAAACTGAAGTCTAATATCGTACACCTGATGCACCTACACGTGGGCACTGCACAGTGGCTAGCACACTTGGGTAACAGACTAGCTGTTGTGAGTTCAAATTTCGACATGGAGCCGGACTCATTAAAATCAACCTGAGCTTCCAGTAAAGACAGCTGGGGTGACATTGAGCACATCACCTGCTCACATTCTTGCTGGTCTGTAAAAAAGATACAGCCCATGCCATATACCCAACACGCCTGCTAGTGTGGAGAGTAATTCTTTCTCTTCAACCCTTCTTAAGAAATCTATCACATAAAGATTGTATTTATTGATATGTCAGTAATTTACTTATTTTCAAAATAAAATATTTTTGTTTTGTTTTGTTTTTGTTTTTTTAAATTAGCCAACTAACAAGTATTGGTTTCTTTCAGGATTTAAAGCCAAGCAACATTGCAGTGAATGAAGATTGTGAATTAAAGGTTAGTACTTTTGATTTGTTTAAATTGTGGGAGTTTTCCATTCCATAAACTAAAACATTGGCTGTAGTCATACAATATGAGATCTGTCTGTAGACGCAAACTTATTAATTGTGATTGTTGCATGACTCCCGATACTGTTGAAATTGTTTTAGAATTAAGCTCAAGTATTACCTTCACTCATACAAACAGTAAGTAAAGTTAGGCAACCATATGCTTTTGTTGAGAAAAGGTATTTAGCTCTAGCCCTGTATTTTAATTGACCAGTTTGCGAAGTATCATGCCGGTCACCTTTACTTCCTGGGAAATGACCAGGTACCTGTTTCAGGCTGGGTTGATCTGGGAGTCAAGGTCAGTTTTCAGAAAAATCCGTCTTGGTTCAGGTTTAAACTCTAGACTTTCCAATGAGCATCTAGAGTACCAAGGCTTCCCATTCAAGTAGAAGAAAGAAGTAAATATTTGGGGACCCATTAAATAACTATCCTGTTGTCACACCATGTTTAACGCGTTTTACCTCTAAATCGCAAGAGCTGCAGAGTGCATGCTTTACAGTTGATTTCATCTTCAGTGGTTTATTCATGACAATTCTCACCCAGGTGATGTAATCATTTATATATACGGTTCTCTGTTGAAAGGCAGAAGAAGTGCATGGGAGCTCATAGTGAAAGCAAATTGACACTGCTTAGTGCAACAAAACCTAGCATCTAGTTTGAACATGGAGGGGGTGACAGTCATGGCAGCTTTCTGCTGGCTTGAAAACAAGCTGTATACACATCATGATTGTAAGAGCCTCATAAAGCATGCTGTGACGGCATGCTGCATGTAGAATGGCAAGCATCGCTTCAGAGGTCCCAGATAGTTAGCCTCTTTAGGATATTCTCTCCAAAACATGAGAATGCTATGCTGCAGGAGCAAGTATACTGACTTGTACTTCAACTTGTTTTGTATCCAGGTATGAGAGTGAGATCTGTCTGTGTTTGTCCTCAGATTCTGGACTTTGGGCTGGCCCGGCACACCGATGAAGAGATGACTGGCTATGTGGCAACCAGGTGGTACAGGGCCCCTGAGATCATGCTCAACTGGATGCATTACAACCAGACAGGTAAGTCATCTGTCTCTGAAAGTGCACAGGTAACTTGCAGGCAGACATGTGGATCACCTTTCTTTGCACCTAGACAGGCAAGTCGTTTTTTCTCATCATCATGTGCCATCATGATAAGCATAAGCTGTCATGTTTTGGCATCCCACACAATCACCAGAATTGTGGATCAGGTCAATTATCATGTTTTGCCCCATCCATATGGTTAAGCTGTTTTTCTCTGTGCCTTTCTCTTGCACACTTCCCATCAATCTTGCTGGCCACTACCAAATTCTTTAGTCTATTTCTTTTCATAACACCTCCAAAAACAACAACAAATATACTTACCATCTACATTTAATTTTTATAAACAGTTTATGACTTTTATCTGCCTTGTCAACAGCCAGATTTGTATTTTCTTTTTCTTTGCGTTCAGTTTCATATGCTCAGATCAGACCATCAGGTGGGTTGCCTCTATGAACTCTATGTCAGTAGCAGGTCCTTCATGGTTCACCAAAGCTTGCTCTGCACACTTTGCTCTTGAAGCTAGGTTTATTTTCGAAGTTGCAGGTAGAGTGGGCAGGTCTGCAGAATGTGCTCAGGTGTTTGTGGTCCTGTCTGACAGGCACACTGTGGGGACTGTACAATCTTTATTTTATGCATGTGGTAGTTGAGCCTGCAATGTCCTGTTCGTAGATGGAAAATTGTTGTATGTTGCTTTCTGTTGAGTCTGCTGATGGGGTCTTGTGGATGTTTACTGATGTGTATCCAAGACAGATATCCCTTTTCTCTTTACCTAACAGGTAAGTTACCTTTCTTTATGCTCGGATGGGTCACCTGTTTATATAATGAGTCACGTGAGTTACTTTGCACCTAAACAGGATGGGACATTTTTACGATAACCAGTCGAGTGCCGTTTTCTTTCTACTAGATTAGACAGATAGTTGAACTATGACTAGGCCTTTTCATGTGTAAAATGCTTACATGAATTGGTGAATTATGCACACACATACATTCATATAGATACATATATATATATGAGATCTGTAAAAAAGTGTGTGTGTATACATACATACATACATACATACATACATACATACGTACATACATACGTACGTACGTACGTACGTACGTACGTACGTACGTACGTACGTACGTACGTACGTACATACATACATACATACATACATACATACATACATACACTTTTTTACTGCTGCTGGGTCAAGCCAAGAGCTGAGACCAATGGAAAAAAAAATTTGCTTCAGTGCATATTAGAACTCCAGATCTTTAGACTAGGAGATAAGTGACTAACCACTACGTTACTGCAGTTCCAAAAGAGTTCAGTAAATGTCTGATATTTGTTCATGTGTTGTGAGATCATTACCACAAAAATTAAAATCTTTTTTTTTTTACTCCACAGTGGATATTTGGTCTGTGGGTTGTATCATGGCAGAGATGATGATTGGACGACCTTTGTTTCCTGGCACAGATCGTATCTTTTAGTGTTGTCTTGGTTAAATTTATTTAACGTTACAATATATTTAATGGATTTTTTTTTCCTTTTTAAAATTTGCTATGGGTATATTATGTTTTTGATGTCTTCTTTACTACAGTTTCACCATCCGTATAATGTCATGTGTTCCCTTGTATGAGTTCAGGGGGGGAAGGGAGGGGGACAAACCCACTGCCTCCCTCACAAACACATAGTAAAAGTCGACTAATTAGGGGTGTTTCCTTCAAGTCAGAGTGCAAACACTGAGATGTTAGGAACTAACAGTCTACATAAAGATAAGCCACATCTGTAAAACTTTAATGCATTCAAAACTCAGGTTCTGGGTCAAGATCAAAGACCAGAAATGGGTGAAGACCGGAACCCTTTCACTGGAGTTTACAGCCGATAAATGCTAAGAAAAAGGAGAAAAGCTGTGTTTTTATTCAAAATTATGATTCATTATTTATTATTGCGATTTTTTTTTGTTTTGGTTTGTTAAAATGATGGATTTTTGTGTGGTACCTGAGAATATCTAGCGGAGGTGCACTCAACAATCCTGAGCTTTCAGACTGCCTGATGACAACCTACGAAAACAGCTTTCCTTTTCCTGTATCAAAAGAATGGCAATAGCTGGAACACCTCCAGGACTGCAGCCACTATGGGTATTCCACTACCTCTTAATAACTGAGAATCTAGGAACCACAGTCTGCACACAAATAGGCCGGATCTGTAAAATGGATGTGCACGTAAGACTTGTGTTCTGAAAGAAGAATAAAGTCTAGGAGTGGACGAACAACCAAAACTTTTCACCTGAGTTTACAGCCAGTGAATGCAAACAAATACATGTGTGGATTCCGGGGCCCCATTGTGGGGAGGGAGGGGGAACAATAATAGACCCACTGCCTCTCCAGCAAGCGTATCATAGGAGTCGACTAATTGGGAATCCTTTGAGCGGCAAGGAACAACCAACTGCACACAAACAAGCCAGTAAAATGGAAGTACATTCAAAACTCAGTCCCTGGCACAGAGTCTGAATGGACAAACAACCAGGACTTTCCACTGGAGCTTACAGCCGGTGAACAAAGAAGAAGCAGGAGAAGAGTGCGACAGGTTATTATTATTATTATTAACTATTATTAATATTTTAATCACTTTGGAAATATCTGGGTTAGAATACTATCTTCAGAGAACATACAATTTGATGAATGGAAAGAAAATAATCTCATATTTGTACACCCTAACCTTGGTGCAGACATTGACCAACTGACTCGGATACTGTCCTTGGTGGGCACACCCGGTGATGAACTAATGCATGAGATCAAGAGTAATGATGTAAGTTTTTGAGATTCATCTGTTTTGTCAACTTAAAATAGCTCATGATGTTTCTAAATATCATCTGTCATTTTATAGCTCATGATGCTTCTAAATGTTATCTGTTATCATTTTATAGCTCATGATGCTTCTAAATGTTATCTGTTATCATTTTATAGCTCATGGTCTGAGTTTATAGCCACTAAACACAAATCTTGGTGTCATGTTAACCACATCACCAGTCGGTCGAGTGCCTGTAAATATGAGTCTGACAATGGTGTCAAAAGAGCCCTTTATTTTAAATTTTTGTATTTAAATGCACTTTTGCTAGAAAACTCAGCAAAGGGAAAGGACCTGCATAAATGCAGCTGTTAGAAAGCTCACAAAGGGAAAGGACCTGCATAGATGCAGCTGTTAGAAAGCTCACAAAGGGAAAGGACCTGCATAGATGCAGCTGTTAGAAAGCTCACAAAGGGAAAGGACCTGCATAGATGCAGCTGTTAGAAAGCTCACAAAGGGAAAGGACCTGCATAGATGCAGCTGTTAGAAAGCTCAGTAAAGGGAAAGGACCTGCATAGATGCAGCTGTTAGAAAGCTCAGTAAAGGGAAAGGACCTGCATAGATGCAGCTGTTAGAAAGTTCAGTAGAGGGAAAGGACTCGCACAAATGCAGCTGAATGTTGTTTAACCAGTCTTTATCAGTGGACAAAACTACAGACTCATTAGAACAGCCAACAAGGTAACATAGAGTGAAAATATTTAATGAAAGCAAATACGGACTAGAAGTTATTATGAAACAAAATACATAAGGAGGAGGATGTTCCCTGTGTAGTTTCTGGAGTCCCATTTTGAGGCTAGAGAATGGACCCACGGCTTTCATGAGAAGCATGTCATAAAAAGTCAATAATTACACACACATATATATTAATATATGCATATATATTGATACACACAAACATACTTTTAAAAACTGTTTTTGTTACTGGTAGTAATAGTAGATTATTATTTAATTCTTTTACAACTAATGTGTTGATCTGATATGTGTGCATCACTCCTTCATATGTTTTGTTTCATAAAAAATGTTTCTTTACACACAGAGAGAAAACAATGATATGTTGGGATGTTCCTGCATATATATATATATATATATATATATATATATATATATATATATATATATATATATATATATACAGTAGAACCTCACTTAATGAGCACCTCTTCTTCTTCTTCTTCTTCTTTCGTTCGTCTGAAATAAGTTATCTATATCAGCAGTTTTGTCTCTTGTATAAATTTCACTGTCGTTGTTAGTTCATTCAGTGGTCCATAGAGTTTACGTTCCACTGTTGTTCTTTCTGGCCAAAAGGTTTGCCTTAATGTGTCAAAATCGGTGCAGTCCTGGAGTACATGCTCTGCGGTCTGGGGCACATTTCCACAGGTGCACATGGCTGATACACCTATCTTGAATTTTGTGTACATGTGGTTACGTAATCGGTTGTGCCCTGTTCTGAGGCGGAAGATAATGACTTGTTCTGGTCTGTCCATAATAAAATAGTCGTCTTGTGCTGGGGCTGGTGGTTTCCTGATCGATTTAATGATTCTTTTCTTTTGGTGGTATGTGACTGGTACATCTGGCTGCTCTTTTGTCGCACCTTCCCCTGCCAGTTGATCAGCTTTCTCATTTCCAGGCACTCCACAATGAGACGGTATCCACTGCATTACGACTCTTCGCTGAACGCTGAGTTGTGTCAGCAGTGTTTGCAATTCTGGTAGTTTCCTATACTGGAGTGCTTCAAGTACTGATTTAGCATCTGTAAGCATTACCACATACTGTGAGCCAAGGTTGGTATTTAGCAGTTTCTCTGTAGCTATCTTAATAGCCTGGGTTTCTGCATCGTAGTTATGGCAGTACTTCCCGGTTGGTACGCTGGACTTATCCCTAGTACCATCTGGGAATTCGATGTACACTCCAGCACCGCCATTTCTAACTGCACTTTCTGCGGACCCATCTGTATAGACTCTGACCCATTGTTCTTGTGGGTATTCTTCATCAATATAACTGAGGGTGGCCATTTTGCGTTGTACACTATCTTGCTCTTTCTTGTCAAATATCCCTTTCACATTTGTCTGGATTTGTACTGTTAGTTTACATTTTTCTCTCCATGGGGTTTGTTCCGGAATACTTTTAAGTGGGCAGCCAATTTCTGGAAGGTCAGGAGTTTGTCTACATATTCTTTTTGCTTGGTGTATAAAGCTGCTTCTTTTTAACCGTCCCAAGGCTAGGTTCTTAAATCTATTTTCCATCGGGTGATCTGGCATACTGAGGAACTTTTCAGCTTGTATTTGCAACTTTGTATCTCTGCGTTCTCTCAGTGCCTGTGTTTTCCCAGCTTTCTCCATTTCTAATATGGGGGTTGATTTCATCCCTCCTGTGATGACTCTGAGCGCTTGATTTTGCACTTTGTCTAACTCCTTTAATGTGGTACTAGATGCTGAACACCATGCAGTTGACCCATATTCCAAGTGTGGAAGTATGCCCTGCTTGTATACTTTATTGAGTATTTTCCCATCTGCTCCCCATGTGGTTCCACTTAGTTTTCTTAGTATTGCTGTCTTCCTCCTGGCTTTGGTTGCTGCCTTGTTGATATGTTTTCTCCATGTCAACATGTCATCAAATGTGACTCCTAGGTATGTGGGCTCTTTATCATCTCTCAGAGGTATTTCGTTTATTTTGATGGTGCCGGCTTTTTGCTTTGGGGAGAGGGTGAATAGTGTGGTGCTACATTTGTCTGTGTTGATACTGACACACCATCTATTGGCCCATGCCTCAAGTGCATTTGTAGCCCACTGTAGTGTTTTTGTGGCTATCGTTGCATGTTCATTGGTGCACCACAGTACCAGGTCGTCGGCATACATTGCCATTTTGATTCCATTTGGTATCTCAGCAACCAGATCGTTGATGAATAAAAGGAAAAGTGTGGGCGACAGGACACCACCTTGAGGGACGCCTTGTCGCAGTAGAACTTTTTTACTTTTGAAACCATCTACCTGTACCCGGGCTCTTCTGTTATGTAGATATGCTTTAATCCAATTGTACATTTTTCCATTTATTTTATAGTTTCTCAATTTCTTCAAAAGCCCCTCCTTCCAAACCTTATCAAAAGCTTTCCTTAAATCTATCCATGCCGCGAGTACCAGTTTCTTATCTCGAAAAGCATCCTCTATTTCTTGGGAGAGGTATGTTGTCTGGTCTTCCGTAGAATAGAACTTTCTAAAGCCCGCCTGCTGTGGTGTAATGATGTTTTCACTTTCATGAGCACCTCTCATAACGAGTAACTCGCATAACGAGCAAAACAAATTGTAAAAAAATGACCCGCTTAATGAGCGATGTTTCGCATAACGAGTAGCGAGGAGAGGGAAAGTCCCGGATTGTGCGCATGTTACATCATTCTATGTTTAGCACTCGTTCCAGTAGAATTGTAGTGTCGTTTGTGATCACACATTTTCTCAAACGTTTGCTATATTGTTATATATGTACATGAATCCTCCAGGACTACAAGATGACCTCTCTGAAGAATTTAAGTTCATCAAGTTTGTTTCTGCCTCCCAACACCACTCCGTTACTCCAGCCTATGGACCAGCAAGTTATTTCTAACTTTAAGAAGCTCTACACTAAAGCACTCTTCGAGCATTGTTTTCAGGTGACTGGACCGAAGAGACCAACCTCACTCACAAAGAGTTTTGGAAAAATCACTTCCACATCGTTGCCTGCCTTAAGATGATCGACAAGGCGGGGCAAGGGGTTACCAAGAGAACCCTAACTTCTGCTTGGAAGAAGCTTTGGCCGGAGAGCGTTGTCGGTCTGTGACTTTGAGGGGTTCGAGACAGTACCTGCAGAACCTGTAGTCAACGAGATTGCGTCTTTGGCCACTATCATAGGATTGTAGGTGGATAACAGTGATATCGAAGAGCTTGTGGAAGAGCACAGCCAAGAGCTGACCATCCATGAACTTATGGAGTTGCATTGTGTTTCACAGCAAGTAGTTTTGGAGGAAAGTTTCTCAGAGGAGGAGGTAACAGAAAAGCAACAATCTTCTGGCGAAATAAGAGAAAGGCTGAAAGCAAGGCAAACTGTTGCATCTTACATTGAGAAGCATCACCCTCATAAGGAAGTGGCTATGCGCATTGCAAATTTATTTAATGATAATGCTGTGTCATATTGTTGCCAAATTTTGAAGCGTTGGCAAAAACACATGTCTCTGGACATCTTTCTAGTAAAAATAAAAATAATTATCTATGTATCATAATTATTTCAACTTTTTTTTTTCTTTTTTTCTTCTGCAAATCGAATTCCTGTCCCATGTTGGTTCGTTCCGCGTTTGAAGAAAAAAACGAAGATGGTTCACTCTCCTTAACAATATGTACATAATTTTCTTTGAATAAACGTTAAACATAGCATTTTGTGAGTAATTTTTTCGACATGGAACGCATTATCGTATTTTACATTAATTTATATGAGAAAATTTGTTTCGCATAACGAGTGTTTCGCTTAACGAGTATGATTCTAGAACGAATTATGCTCGTTAAGCGAGGTTCCACTGTATATATATATATATACGTACACACACATGCATGCACACACACACACACACACACACACACACACACACACACACACACACACACACACACAAACCTTCAGGAGAATCCATGTGCTCTCTCCATTTGCAGGCAAGGATGTTCATAAAGTCGCTTCCTCACATGCGGAAGAAAGATTTCAAAGAAGTGTTTGTAGGAGCTAATCCTCTAGGTATGTACCCTGTACTCCACTAGTTCCCTTTTTCTCTTATCATTTTTCTCTGTAAGGAATTCTAGGTAGGATGTCCTACGTACTCAGCAAACTAGTGGAAAATTTGTTTCACATCCTACCGCTTTGTACACAGATGTTTGTGTACCCCTACTACGAAGCACAGTTGTACGTGTAAGTGCAAATACCTATAAGTAAAAATGTATCCGTACTGTATGTGCAAGCATACCTGTAGCTACAAGTGTACCTTGTGTGCCTTTGCCTGTAGCGAATGATATTTTCTTAGCTAGAGTATCCACTATGGACCCCATTGCGACTTCTTGTGTTTCTGACACCACGCTGCTTCTTCTTGTTAGTTGCATCAGTTTTTTGTCACCCGAATCCGCAAATTTGACCCTGGCTCCAAGGTCAACCCAGCCAAAAATACCAGGTAATGTCCTGGAAAGTAAAGGCACCCAGTGTGATACTGACCACCACATCACCCACTGAGTACTGATTGCTATATACAAAATAAGATCCATCATCAGATGCTCAGTGTAGCACTGGTGTAAATAAAGAGGTGTTGACTTTTTGACTTAGTAACTTATCTTTGTGTCTAGTTATTTACTGCTGAGGGTGGTTGGACTTTTTGACTTAGTGACTTATCTTTGTGTCTAGTTATTTACTGCTGAGGGTGGTTGGACTTTTTGACTTAGTGACTTATCTTTGTGTCTAGTCATTTACTGCTGAGAGTGGTTGGTATATTATGTTCCGGTTTGCAACTAGGCTGCATCATCTGCTCCTTTTGGCTTCACACTTCTGGTTTCGCCCTTACTTAATTTGCCACTTTCTTGACATGCCTGTTAGAGGGCGGTGGGTGGTTCCCCTCCTGAAAATGGGACCTAGGGTGCATACTGGGAAGATGTTTACTGTTATTACAGTGTAAATTCTGTTTTTTAACTGCATTTCTGTCAGGTAATCATACTTCCACACTGAATGTCCATCACCATCCCTTGTGGAAAAATTGACACAGATTGTAAAGCCACAAGCATACACACATATTGAATGCATTAAGCAGCTATCAGAAGTGCCAGCACAAACAACCGTGCACCAAAACTGCAATTAATCATCAATAGAAGTAGCAGTTACAGCTGATCAGTAGTTGCGCATGCAGTTAACCGCATAAGGCACCAACATTTCTCTGGTAACAGGCCACTTGTAGTTTCTGAATCAGCAGTTCACAAGACAAACCACGTTGGGCACAGTTGAAAAGCATTCCAAATGAAGTCCTCTGCAGCTCACAGTGTCGCACTATGTACTCATCTCAGTAACTGGGTGATGAAACTTTGCGTTCCTGTCAGTTTATATGTAAATACCCTATTATTTAAGAGCATTTATGTCAATCTATGTGTAAATACCTTGTTATTTATCTGTGTGTCACTACAGCTGTGAATCTTCTGGAAAGAATGCTGGACTTGAACACAAAAACCAGACTGGATGCCACACAGGCTCTGGCTCATGAGTATCTCAAGCAGTACTCAGACCCACAAGATGAGCCTACCTCCGAGAAGTATGACCAGTCATTTGAGGACCTGGAGCTCAGTATAAATGACTGGAAAAGTAAGTCACACTTATCAGAGAGAATGAATTTACTGGTGTAATTTATAGTATAGAGAGTGAGTTCACTGGTATCAGTTATAGTACAGAGAATGAGTTCACTGGTCTCATTTATGGTAGTCATGTCATTTATAGTACAGAAAATGAGTTCAGTGGTGTCATATTTTTTACAGAAAAATAGTTCAGGGTTTCATTTATAGTACAGAAAAGTTAGTTAAATGGTCTCATTTATAGTACAAAGAAAATGTTCAACAGTTACATTTATAGTTCAGAGAATCAGTTCAGCAGTGTCATTTATTATTTTTCTGGGTATCAGGTTGGCGTTAGTTGACAGTGAAACACCTAAAACCAGTGGGGGGGGGGGGGGGGGGTGGGGGGGGGATACCACCAATCTAGATGAATCTCCTAGGCTAACGTGATTGCTTGACCGAGGTATTAAGCTTGGTGAATCACTTCTATGTCGTCTTTGAGGTAAAGACAGGAGATACTATAACCAACTTCTCATGGGAACAGAAGAGGTACCTTGCAGTGGCTGATGCATTGGAGGACTGAGCATGCATGGGAATGCCCAATGTGCAGAGTACTCGAGTGTGATAACGTAACATGAGCTAAGTTCTGGGCTTGGAGAGAGGAGCAAGAGCTCTGCAACACAGTCTCTGTGGAAATGATACTTGGGGGATCAGTTTGGTAGAAAGTGGATGCAAGCCCTTGTCAGGGCTCAAGCTGATACAAGCAAGTAGCAGAATTAAGAATATAGACTAATTCTTCTAGAGGAGGAACCAATGCCTGCCAACCAATCAATCTGTATACAGAGAACTAATTAGTTTGTCCCCTCTGGTCTGCTATATAAAGGTTTTCCATGCTACCCTAAGATTAAACGTATCTCATTCTAAACAGCAGAGAAACAAGATAGGTCACGGATCCACTGTTCAACCTCCACAAAAGTAATAATTTCCTACTGGCTACCCCAGCCAGGTGTAGCCTGCATTCCTATGTGGGTCAGGGTGAAAATAAAACAAAAAGTATACCAAAAATAAACAGTGTTTTTTTTAATGGTTTATAGACTTAACATTGTCGTTTATAATGGAGAGGGTAAATTACACAGTGTCATTTATAGTGGTGAAAGTAGATTCCACAATGTCATTTATCTTCTCCCAGTGTGGGTTTTGGGGCCTCATTGGGGGGAAACAAGAATAGACCCACTGCCTGCACAAAAGCGTTACGTAAGTGTCGACTAATTGGGAGCTTTCTTCAGAGTTGGAGTACATCGGCCTGAGAGGCAAGGAACCAACAGTCTGCATACAAATGAGTCAGACCTGTGAAACAGCAGATTTGCATGCAACACTCAGTATCTGGAATGGGACTAGAGTCCAGAAGGGAATAAACAACCAGAACTTGCAGCCGGTAAATGCGAAGAAGATTTATCTTCTATTTCCCCCCCCCCCCCCACATGATGTGTCCTGCCCGCCCGCCCCCCCCCCCCCCCAACAATTACTAACTATTCTGTTTTCTTTTTTTGTAGAATTGGTGTGGAATGAGCTGGAGAATTTTACACCTATATCACCATCTTAGCAGCACTACAATCATCCAGTTCCCAAGGAAGCAGCCTATATTCAGTAGCTACTCTGTGAAAGTGTGAGGAGAACATGTGAGTGTGCAGGAGAGGTTATGAGTGAGTGAACAAATAAATGTTCTATAGTTTGTGTGTATTTGCATGTGTTTTTGTGTTTGATTGTTTTATCGACAAAAACCACTCTTTGTTTTTGGACAATGGTACGAGGGTTGTGCTGTGGAAGAGATTTTGTAATATTCTCAAACACGGCAGTGGGTATGCTGTATCCATGCTGTATTGTGGAGAGGGCAAACAATTTATTTTAATTAATATATTATCTCTTTCGGTTCCATGCAGTTGTTTGCTTGAACTTATTATGGCCAAAAATGTGATTAAAAAAAAAAAAATTTAATATTGCATCTGAAGCAGATCACATAATAACTTTACCAAAAAGAAACAGTGAACACAACATATTGATAGGATATATTTATTTAACAAAGAAATTGGACACGGAATGAAGAGGAAACTTTTATTGTAAACAATTGCCACCAAACGCATGGTGCGTTGCTTGGAAAAGAAAATGTTAGTAACTGTGTGGATGTCTGATAAACAGCATCTTGTCTTGGAAGCCTAAATATTTTGGCCATATGAAACACCACGGCCGATTGAAAAAAATTATAGACGAAGGCATATTGCCAGGAAGGAGGAGCAGGGGCTGACCAGCACGAAAAAAGGGCACATGAAATAGGTGACTTCTTAGGTATGAAAGTGCGTTAGGCGGAAGAGCTGGCGAGAGACCGAGTTTCTTTCAGGCTGACCGAAAAAAGGTGACGTTCTTCAAAGAACCTGCTGCATGATACTGAATTGAGTGGATGTATCAAAAAGTTAGTTAATGTCTTTTATGTATAAAAATTGTCTAAATGTGTGTGTATGTATGGTGGGGGGGGGGGGGGTCCTCAGTGCCTGATCCTTTCTTTGCCTTGCAGTCTTGCTTCAACAGCAGTCTTGTAGACTGTTGCAGACCAGTTGGCTTTGTGTATAAATGCTAAACATTTTTAACTGGATGTTTCCTGGCAGTGAAATAGGGTAACTAACATTATGGATTAATTCTGGATTTAATTTTTGTAAAGTGTAACATTTAAAAGCTTGAGTTGTGGGATTCTCTGTTCTAGAACCTCACATTTAGGATTTTAAAATCTTGGTTTGTCTGGTTTAAAATGTGACATTAGGCTTTTAAATTGTTGGATTATCTGGTTTAAAATTTGATATTTATGCTTTTAAATTGTTGGACTCTCTGTTTTTATTGTTATAAGGGGGTTTCACAGAGACCAAAATTTACATATAAATATTATACATAGATTTGTGACAGGTGCATTTCTTCTTATATGATTTTCAGGATTTTTAGAGCAAGATTTTCACATCTATTGATATAAGTGTCTGTTTCATCTGTCATTGTGGGACATTTTTTTTTTTGTATGTGAGAGATTTCACGTGTTGAATATATATATATATATATATATATATATATATATATATATATATATATATATATATATATATATATATATATATATATATATATATATATATATACGTATATTTTTTTTCATGTTCAAGAAATGTTCATACATGAAGTTAGAACACAGAACCTGTTAAGTTAACCGGGTCAACAAATGCTTGATGAAGTCAGTTGTGTTGACTGAAAGGCACAAATCGTGCAGCTGTGCTGTAAATAGGTACAACACAGTTACATCACTTATAGGAAAAAAAAGAAAAAAGAATAAAAACACAGAACCACATTGAATGTTCACTCAAGTGCTGTTGATAGTAGATAGCTCAGTTCATTTTGTGAATGGATAAATACAGTGTGTGAATGGAAGACAAAAACCAACACTTGGATCGTGTAGGAGATGTGAGTTTTTAGGTGATACAGAGATCACGTCTTGTCTGTTGCTAGTATCATACCAAGATCTCATTTTGTATAGTTAATTGCAGGATTGCAGAGGTCCGCTTTTGTCTTGGTAATTACAGGATTGTGGAGATCACATTTTTTGTGCTTCTACCAATATGATGGTAGAGATCACATTTTGTGTACTGCAAACATATTTGTAGAGATCACTTTTTGTGTGCAACTACAATTATGATTGTAGTGATCACATTGTATGTGCTACTTCTGGAAGGTTGACAGAAGTCAGAGCTTGTGTGTTGTGCAGTGTTGATTGTAAAGATCACATTTTGTGTATTACTACAAATATGATGGCAGAGAACACATTTTGTGTGCTACTGCAAACATAATCGTAGAGATCACATCTTGTGTACTACTGCAGACGTTATGCTAGAGATCACATTTTGTTACTACTACAGACATGATTGTAGTAATCACAATATGAATGCTACTTCTGGAAGGTTGCCAGAAATCACAGTCTATATGTTACTGAAGATTGATTGTAAAGAAATCACACTTTATGTTTTAATAGTTTCATTGTGGTCACTGTTTGTAAATTATTTCTTGGAATTTGGTAGAAACCACAACTGTTACTGGCAATGTAGTCTGTAAATGTTCCTGATCAGTGAGATTAAGTACTGATGCTTTCACTCACTGTATACATAGAATTGAAATACTTACCTTACCTTCTGTTTGAAAGCATGTCTAGTATGAGGTCTTTGTAATGGTAATTTTCAGAAAATGAGAGGTTACAGCTATTCTTTCATTGTCTTTGTCCATGACAGTAATTGCATGAAAATGTTGACATAATTAAAGTGGTTTGACATTAACACTATTTAGGGTATCGAAAGACAGTGATGGATCCCTAATGTTGTTCTGGTTATATCATGACGAAGGTTATCGTATCTAGGTGATGAGAATAATCTTGGCGTGTGACAAAGAGGGTATTACTGATGGCATAACTGGTGACAATATTGATGATATACACGGGCAGGTCTTGCTATTCACACTTGCCATCGCCATTGGCTTTGAGAATAACACTATCATCTGGAAAGACAGAAAGGTGCCAATCATATGACATTGATGCTGTTAACCTGGACAGATAATGCCAATAATGTTGATATATCCAGAATGCCATTTGATATTTTTTCCATGATGGGATACATTGAAACTGGCATATGGCGGTGGTTCAGTTAATGTGGTATCTGATAGTGATACTTTTAATGTTGGCATGTAATGGTGATGCCATTAATATTGGCACCTGTTGGTAATGCCATTAATGATGACACATTACTTTTGGCATCTGATAGTGATGTCATTAATGTTGGCACCCGCTGGTGATAATTATGTTGGCATCTGGTTGTGCTAATCATTACTGTTGGCATCTGATGGCAATACCATTAATGTTTGCAATAGACGGTAATGCTTTTAAATGTCGGGTGTGAGATGGTGGTGATGACCTCAACATTCAGCAAATGGCGGTGATACTGTTTGTGTTGGAACATGATGGCGATCACATTAATGTTGGGACATACTGTTGGTGCCATTAACTAATGATGGTGATGACATTAACTTGTTATGTCATTTTATAGTGATGGCATGAAATAATGATGTCATTTGATAATGAGGAGGTTAATGTTAGGATGTGTTGGTCATGACATAAATATTGAAATATGATAGTAATGGCATTAATGATGGCGTCCAAAGGTGTTGGCATTAGATTGTGATGGCATTAATGAATGGTGTTTGTCAGTAATAATGTTATGTTTGAAATATGACAGAGGTGGCACTAATAATGGCATATTTTAGCCGGAGACACTAGCTGAGATTTGCTTGTGCTCGCTGGCAGGCTGCCTATGCTTCTCTATTGTTGAGCCAATCACAGACTTCTGTTTCAAGCTAGAGACCTTAGCTCAGTGGTTCTCAACCTTTCTAATGCCGCGACTATCTAATACAGTTCTTCGTATTGTGGCGACCCTTTAATAAAGCTCCTCATGTTACGGCAACCCCCAACCATACAATTATTTTTGTCGCTTCTTCATAACTTAAATGAATATGTGTTTTGTGATGGTCTTTGGTGACTCCTGTGAAAGGGTCGTTTGACCCCAAAAAAAGGTTGAGAAATACTGCGCTGGCTGATATGTGCTTATTTGCTTGTGCTCACTGATTGGCTGCCTGTGTTTCTGTATTGTTGAGCCATTCGCAGACTCCTGTTTTAAGCTAAAAACCCTAGCTGGCATGTGTTTGTGCTCATCATTTGGCTGCCTGTGTTTCTGTTTTGCTAAGCTAAGCTCCAACTGCTTGTTGTAGCTAGATGCCTCTAGCTGACTTGTTTGTTCCCTTGTGCTCACCCACTGCTTGATATCTGTCCAGTGGTGTGTTTACAGGTCAGTTGGTGTAATTCTCTATTGTTGCTGTAAAAGAGAAGTGGCTGACTGAGCAGTTTAAAGGCTTCGGCATATGAGGCGACATTTGGACCTTGACGATGACCCACTTCCCAGTATAGTAATATCTATGTTATTCTTCTTCTTTACGTCCTCTTTTACTCCTTCGGGTGTCGGGGACAATATATATATGTTCTTCTTTTTCTTTACCTCCTCTTCAGGTGTCGAGGGAGATATAAGGTCCTGCCCTTCTGGCTGCTTCAACCATAAACATATCGTGGTGCTGTAGTTTCTTTAATGTTATCTTTCCATCTTGTAATATACATGTTATTACAGTTTTATATATATTACCAAAAATATATTTTATTACTATATACAGATGTAACCATGTCATTGTCACTAAAATAAGCCAGCTATAGTTTTTGGCCTGATTTCTCTTGCTTGTACATATTTTAAATCAGCTTTACTGACATTTCTGTATCTTTTTTTGTGTGCTTAAAAGTTAGTGATTGCGTCAAACGATTTCATTATCCTCAAGTACTAGGGTTATTGTTTTATTGATTATAGCAAGGCATTTGATTGTGTCCAGCACCATCAACTGTGGACTATTATGAAAAGTATGGGGTTTCCAGCGCATTTTAATTGAAAATCTCTATCAAGAACAACAAGCAGCCATCAGAGCAGCTGGTGA